AGAATGACAGAAGTGTATTTTATCAATCATTCATCTTTTTTTTTTTTTTGTCTTAGTTGATTCTCTCTTCTTGATCTATCTTTTTTTTGCATCTTTATATATTTGTAATTCATTTATCATTTCTCTTATGTGTCATTTTTTTTTTGAATCACTCTTGTCTTTTTGTTTATTCTTTTTCAAATTCCATTACGCGGTCTATTATCATTTTTTTTTATTACAACAAACTATAAACTCTTAACCATTATAATTATACTCGTATGATGAATAAAAATTAAGTAAAACCGTGAGCTCCATTAATCATGTCAGTTTATCATTTGAGTACTTGAGATTTAATACCCAAAAATGATATAATCTTAAAATATTACAAAAATAATTCATTCTGTTAGCATATTTCTATTAAGAAATCTAAATATAAGTTTGTTATAATTGCTTTATACGTGGATAAATATAATTAGAATTCTTGAAAAAATTTCAAAATTAATTAAACGCTTTAAAAAAATTGAAATGAAAAATTTAGGGATAACAAACTTTTATCTTGGTATATAAATTGAATGTTTAATAAATAAAATTAATATTTATTAATCTACATTGTTAACCTTTTATATATGTCAAATTACTTGATTGATATAAAGATTTTTTTTTTTTTATCTTATAAGAATAATAGAGAACTATTTGTTATTGAAATACTATTTTAGTACAATAAATTTACTAATATATCTTGATAATAATACTAAGTACAATATATCATTTTTGATAAATATTAAAATATAGTTCTTATCCTAAAAAAAAACTTAGTGATAAATTTAAACATATATTATATATTTATGAAATAATTAAAAAAATATTATTTTATTTTAAAAAATCAAAATAATCTTACTTTATTTTTAAAAAAACAAAACAATAACTAATTGATTATGCAAATGTAGAATACTCAATATTAATGAGGCAACTAGAGAGTGAATATGCTTGAAACAATGTTTCAATATATTTAGTAGGCATGTGGTATAGTCTTTAAAAGGAATGCCCCACTACACTATCCAATGATAATACTACATGCAAAATTTAAATGAAACAATAACATTAAATTATATAGAACCGAACATATTTTACCGAAACTCTTAAGGTTAAAAATTTTTGTTTAAACAATAACTTAGAACATCTATCAACCAAAAAATTATTTACTAATATATTTAAACAAGACAATTTTTTAATTTCATAAATAAGATTTCCTTTTCCTAATAAAATTCAAACAAACCAAGTTTGTAAAACCTTCTTTCAATTTGTAATACTATTACACCAAACCTCCTAGTGAAATTATACTAAACTATTACTGACTAGGAACTAAAATATTATAATATAATCACAATTTCATTATACCATTATTCATTCCTGGCGAATAACTACTACAATCAATTTATATTTCACTCGGCAAATCAAACTTACCCTAATTGTTTCAAGTCTGTTTTAAAAATAAATAAATAAAATACATTATCGTATGTAAAATAAACATATTCCTGACTATCCTAAGAAAAAAACTAAAACCAGAAAGCACATCCTCAACAAGCTCCATACAGTTACATCACAATCTCATTTCCTGTCTGCTACACTGTACATTGCGAATGCAAATTGAATATCACGGTACATTCTCATCTTGCAAAAGAATCTCATAAATATCAGTCCTCAGATTCAATTCCTTATCCCGCATTACTTCCTGAAGATCTGACAGCT